CCAGGCTAACGTACAAGGTGTTCGGCTTCTTTTTCCATCGCTGCTCAACAGGGTCAACTTCGACCGGCATAGCACTCGCAACCTTCTTGAACGTGCCGTTCGGGTACCATGCTCTAACGATTGCCTCGCACATCGTGCTTGGATAGAGAGCAGTCGTCGGGGTAACCGACCCCTCACTTCCCATGCTGGTGACTGTGTTGTTTGCAAAGGGCTAGCCACATACACCAGTAAAAACAAGTTTCATCAAGGGCATTTGCCTTTTCTACAACTACAGCAAGTTGCAATGCTGCCCTTGGTAAAAGGGCACCTTGGCGATGGAAACATGTGTCATACCCCCCACTCCCAATCCCAAAGAATCACTTGAGAGAAGGGCTTCCCAATTCAACCCCAACCCAAAAATGGTATTGACACCCTTCAGAAAAAAGGTCAAGCCCCAAAGGGACCCCTGGAGAAAAGCACCCTTGCACCCTTGAGAAAAGGGACCAGTTGCAAATTTGACTCACCAGAAGCCCTGCCCATTCCCTAGAGAAAAGCACCCTTGCACCCTTAAGAAAAGGGATCAGTTGCAAAATTGAAACTGTTTGACTTCCTGTACTAGCCCAAAAGGGGGCAGCCCTGCCCATTCCCTGAGCACATGCACTTTTGCCACAGCCCAAAGCCTGCAGCTGCAGAAGCCATTTTGGCCAAACTTCACCCTTCCATCAAGGGGGGGAGGGCTCAGCTGGCTTCCCTTTTATCAAGGGGGTGTAGGTTCCACCACTCTCCCTTTTATCAAGGGCAGCTTGCGTTGGGGCCATTTGCAATTCCCTTTTAACATCTCCAAGGCATTGATGGAGCTGGAGGGCACCACATCATTGCAGCAAATGACATTGTGCCAGTCCACTGCCACACTAGCTTTGGGGACGTTTTTCAGCCGCCACATTGGGGGTTCCCTTTCATCAAGGGGGGCTTTTCTCTTTGTTGCAGGGGTTGTGGCCGTGTTTGTTCTTGCCCTTTTTTCAAGGGTAGGCTGGGCTTGCCTCTCAGGGCTGAACACACTTCCCCTTTTACAAAGGGTGGCAGTTCCCGTTTTGCTTGCCTGGGGCTTGGCTGCAGGGGTGCTGGAGCTTTCTGTTTCTGAGGAGGTGCCCCAGTCAACAGAGTCCTCCAAGGAGGACTCAGCTGCAACAAGCTCTTTGCTTTTTTTGGCAGGGCTGGGGCCAAGGACCAGGGCCCCTTGCTGTTGGTCCTTTGCCTGCTTGTTCTTTGAAGGGGCCTTGCCAAGAGCCTCACTTGTTGGCTCCTTGTCTTGAGCTTGCTGCTCTTTTGTTTCTTCCCTTTTATCAAGGGGGCTAGGCTCCGTTTTGACAAGGGTGGATGGTGCTGGCTGTTCCCCTTCCCTTTTATCAAGGGTGGGCTCTGCAGGCTTTTCTTCTTCCCTTTTAAGAAAGGTGCTGGATGCAGCTGGCTGCCCCTCTTCCCTTTTAACAAGGGTGGCAAGGGAGCTGGGTGCTGCTGGCTGCCCCTCTTCCCTTTTATCAAGGGTGCTTGTCTCTGCAGGCTTCTCTTCTTCCCTTTTAGCAAGGGAGCTGGGTGCTGCTGGCTGCCCCTCTTCCCTTTTATCAAGGGTGCTGGGCCCTGCAGGCTTCTCTTCTTCCCTTTTTGCAACTCTCCTTTTTGCAAGGGAGCTGGGTGCAGATTGTTCTTGTTCTTCTTGCCTGGCCTTTTCCTCAGCCTCAGCTTTTTCTCTGGCTACTCTTTCTTCGCCCTTTTTCTTGAACTTTTCTGCTCTTGCCCTGCTCACTGTGCCAGTGCCTGAGGGCCTGCCTTTGTTGTTCCATGTGTAGCCAGGCATTGGCCTTTTACCAAGGCTGGCCCCTATTGTCCTTTTACCAAGGACAGCAAAAAACTAGCAAACACACAAGCTTGAGCATATGCAAATGGCTGCAGGGTCTTTGGCTCAAGGATGTGGCATCACTGCCCAAGAAAAAACATGTTGACAGGGAACCCTCAAAAATGACAGGTGAACATGCGTTTGGGCATCATTAGAAGGCAGTCCATTTAAACTACCCTTGGGGCACAAACAAAAAAACAACATATGTGTCTCACCCTGGGGGGGGGGGGAGGGGGCAACAATTCTGCACGCACTGTTTTTGACACCAAGCTGCTGTGCTCTGCCCCTTTTACCAAAAGTATAGCTGTACAGGTAACCCTTCCCTTTTACCAAGGGTGATGCCATTAAAACTTTCACATTGTCACCTTTTAGCAAGGGTGTGTTTTGTAGAGGCTTGCCCTCAACTCCACAGCTTCTTCCTTTGTGAGGTGCTCCTCTTGCAACTGCTGCTTGATGTTCTGCAAGATCTCTTTGTACTTTGGATGGTTCCTTTCTGTTGTTTCCACAACTAGTTTTGGCTTCCCCTTTGGGTCTGTAGTGCCTGTTATGTAAGCTCTCCATGGTGGCTTTGCAGTTTGGGTGACATAGAGCTTTGCCCATGGCTTTCTTACAGCTGCACCTTTTACCAAGGGCTTTGCACCTTTTACCAATGGCTTTTTCTTTCTGGAGCCTTTCCCTTTTACCAAGGGTTTTGTGGAAGAACTTGCTTTGTGGTTCCTTGCTTTGGTCTTTGCCTTTTTGGCCTTGCCAATGCCCAAGGCATCTTTTAACCTTTGTTTACCATCTTCTGTGGCTGCTGGTTGTGTTGCTAAGCTGCCTTTCCTCCTCCTTTTGAAAGAGGGTGGCTGCAGTAGGGTTGCATCATTCTCCCCCTTGTCCACCCCATCCCCTTTTACCAAGGGGCTTTGGCTTTTGTCAGGTGTTTGTAAGGCCAATGGAAAGCCTTCAGAATCAACAGTTGCCTCAGAAACCTCTTTCTTGAGCTTTCTGGCGTCTTCTGGCCTTTCAGGAAGGGGTGTGTGTGATGCTTCCCTTTCAGCAAGGGTGGGGTCTGCTTTTTCCCTTTCAACAAGGGGTTTCCTTTTTCCCTTTCAGCAAGGGTGGGGTCTGCTGCCACTTGCTTTTTCTGCTGGATCATCTTCACAACTTCCTGCAACTGCAGGAATTCAGCCCCAGTCAGCTTGGAGGCACATGCTTGCATCTCATTTGCCCCAGGAGCCGCCTCATGTGGGACAGGAGGATTGTTATTCGCCTTCAGCCCCACCCACACTGATCCATTCCATTTGGTGTTGTTCAAGGAGGGCTCACCCAGCAAGACTTGAAACATAGCTTGCCTGAGGCAAGCCCCATGAATCTCACATATGGATGACAGTTCAACCAGCCCTTTTAGCAAGGGCAAGCAGACCCACAGGCCTTTTGGGTCACATGCCTGTGACCTAGAGATTTTTTCATAGCTGCCAAGATCTTGAATCAAGCCTGAGTGCTTGGAAATCTCCTTGAGGAGCAGTCCTGGGTCTATGTGAGGTTTGGGGGTGTGCCTGGCCCCACCTTTGCCAACACTCATGACCCTTTTACCAAGGGCACTAGTGACCTTTTACCAAGGGCACTGGCAAGCAATCCCTTTTATCAAGGGTTGCCCACAAGCATTCTATAGTAGGATTTGAGCCCAAGTTCCAGAGGCACAGGACCCAAACTCATATCAATAGAATTGTCAAAAAAAATCAATAGAAAGCAAGAAGAAAATGACAAATTAATATCAACAGAATTTTAAAAAAACACAACATACTTCAAATATTGATTTAATCAATAGAAACGACAAAAAGCAATATCAATAAAGAACATGAACTTCCCATTGATTTAAATCAATAGCCGATGCCCAGGGTACTTTCGTACTTAAAAGTTGCGATTTTGGAGCCCCAGCTGCGAAAGACTTCGCGTACCACTTTTGTACTTAAGAGTTGCGATTTTCGAGCCCCGGCTGCGAAAGTTGACCTTGCGAAAGTGCTGCGCGTGCCACGAAATCTTTGCTTGACCTTGCGAAAGTGCTGCGCCTGCTACGAATTCTGCACTTGACCTTGCGAAAGTGCTGCGCGTGCCACGAAATCTTTGCTTGACCTTGCGAAAGTGCTGCGCCTGCTACGAATTCTGCACTTGACCTTGCGAAAGTGCTGCGCCTGCCACGAAATCTTTGCTTGACCTTGCGAAAGTGCTGCGCCTGCTACGAATTCTGCACTTGACCTTGCAAAAGTGCTGCGCCTGCCACGAAATCTGCACCTGACCTTGCCAAAATGCTGCGCCTGCCACGCATTCTGCACTCGATCTTGCGAAAGCGCTGCACCTGCCGCGAATTCTGCACTTGACCTGGCGAAAATGTTGCGCCTGCCACGAAAGCTTTACTTGACCTTGCGAAAGTGCTGCGCCTGCCACAAAATCTGCACCTGACCGTTCGAAAGTGCTGCGCCTGCCACGCAATTCAATCCTTGAGAAAAGTTGACCTTGCGAAAGTGCTGCGCCTGCCACGAAATCTGCACCCGACCTCACCAAAATGCCGCGCCTCTACGCAATTCAATCCTTGCGAAACCTCTGTGTTGCCGTGCAAATGGTCCCGGCGCCGCCCCCGTCCCGAGACCGTCCCGCACCCGTCGTCCGTCAGACGCCGCGACTGAGGTAGCTTTCAGCCAGCTCCACACCACCAAGCCCGCAGAGGGTTGCTCCTTTTCGCAAATTCTATTCCACCGCCACACGCGCACGCATGTTTTCTTCCTTCCCTGCACCATCTAGCTTTCAACTGGTTTCCGTAACTCGGAAGTTTCCTTCTAACCTTCCTTTGATTATATACATGGTTGTCGCAGGATGGTGCATTTTCGAGATGATGTGGTTGGCCTGGACAGCTCCATAGTGTCCACGCCGGCCGTACATCGAGCGTCGGGGCATGTCTTGCTCTCAGCGAGATCGCGCAACTCAGCATAAACATCGCCGATTGCATCCCGATTGCCATACCGACCAGTCCAGTGCCTGCTGTCGTTTGTCTTCCTTGCTTTAGTTGCCTTAGCACGATTGCCCAGCGCCAGCTTGACCGGCCAAGTTGCCAGCTAGATTTTGACTCCCGCCATGTTTGCTCCGAGCGATGCTATTTGGCATTGAGGTCGACAACTTCTCAGACCCAATGGTGGACTGCACCGAGAGCAAGAGCAGGTTTCCAGTCTCGATGCGTCTCGAAGAATGGAATTCGGCGTGCGCCAGGTTCAGAGCAGATCAACTGATGTGGGCCAAGGTGGAGCTTGAGGAACGATTTTGGTTGGGAATTGGGGTTTCAAGAATTGACACTGCCATCGAGGATGATCGCATCGTCGGCTATGTGTCAATGGCCAGCCACAAGCCGTTTTCTGCTTTGACTTGTTTCCGTTTTCCCTGTTTTCCCTTTCTCCAGGTTGAGGATGGAAATGTGGAGAAGGCCTTGGAGAAAGCAGCAAAGCGATTGAAGAAGGAGCAGATAGACCCGCATTGCGATCTGCTTGGTCTTGCTGTGTACGGCTGTGCTGTATGCTCTCGCGCAATCTGCGGCTTTGGCCCAAAAGACACGCAATCTTGCGGGCCATGGGGGTAAGATCCTAAAAACTTTCGAGCTTTCGAGCTTTTCGCAAGCTTTCGAGCTGAGGTTGTTGGCTGCCGCTGCAACGACGGCCAGACGCCGAGATGAGCCGAGTCCTGACACCCCAAGACTTCAATTCAGAACAAGCTGCAGATTCGCGTACGTAATTTGCAAGGAGCAGACGCCGCCACTGAAGCCGCCGACGATGATGTGGTTCCCATGGTCGCCGTTAGCGACAAAGTGCCGGTGAAGAAGGCCTCGACGACATTTGCAAAACGGATTTCTGTTGCGTTCTCTCGGGGATTTGTTCTTCATGTTGTTCCTTTCTTGTTTATATAAACCTTGTTTGTTTGTTTTCTTAATGTACTCTCCTTTCCTCTTTCTCGTCTATTCTCGGCCGTTCCTCTTTCGATACCCTTCAGAAACGGAAGTTCTTAGGACAAGGCGCGGTTGGATGACTCGCGGAAGAAGCTGCTCTCCTGCGCCAAGGCACTCAGAGCCGGGGGCCTCGGAAAGTTCGAGAAGACGAGAGAAAGGAAGAACAAAGGAAGGAAAAGACAACATTCAAAATACAAGAACCACGTGTTTTGCTTGCTGTTTTTCTTCGAAGATAGCAAAGGCGTTGTTTTTCTCGTTCCCATTGGTTTTCTGCCATTCGTCTCTTTCGTTTCTGTTTTTAGGAGCATTTATTTTTATCTACGCTTGTGGCCAACGCGTCTCCGCGGATCAAACCCGGGCGGCCGAGCCAAGGTGGTAGCGATCGCGCTGGTTTTGTGTCATGGCTTTGGTGGTGGTTTGAGCGCTTGTTTAGTTGCTCTGCGCTTGCTTCTTTGGTTGCTTGCTCGGAGCGCCGCTTGCTTGCTTGTTACAAACTGGACACCCTGTTTGTTTTCTTGTTGCGCCAGCCTGGGGAATTGGGCGGTCTCTTCTTGTTGGTAGGTCAGGGCCTGTTTAATCCTCCCAAAACTCTTCTTCCAAACCTTTTCGCTGGTCATCAAGGATTCGTCTGTGGTTGGCGCCGCGAACCCCATTCTTAGCAACCCTGCAGGTACCTTCAGTTAAGGTACCGCAGGCCTGATGGCGGAAACCGCAGAGGTCCGTCCCTTCGTGGTAACTGATGAGTGGATCCTCAGTCAGGCCGGGATCATGGAAGTAGCAAGTAGCGAAGTCCGGGTGGCCCTCACTTGCTCGGGGCCGCCGTTTTCGAATTCCTTCAAGAGGTCCGGTGCTACTCACGGCTTAGGCAGTAGCAGTAAAGGCATCGGCAATCCCGAACGAGATGCGTCTAGCAGCGTTGCTGCCGACGCGCGTGGGCCTATTGAAGCAGGCGAGGGGTAATTTGCTGCAATGCTTTCAAATTCTCAAGCCCTAGTCAGGCCTCTGGCAGTGGTGAGTTTGTGCCACCATTGCGAACCTCAACCCGGACCATTTAGAGAGGAGAAGGAGTGAGGCTGTCGGTAAACTCAGTTGCAAACGAATTCCACAGCTTCAACACGCGAGCTCTTTCTTGGTCCACACGGGCATGATTTTCCGGACTGCAGGCTGCAACTGGCGCATCCTAAACAGACCACTTCTACATGAAGTTCGGACCAGGGAGCGGAGTGTCCCTTGCGCGTGAGCACGCGCCACAAGGCGGAGCAGCGCTGCGTCAAAATGTAATCAAGGAAATCCCAGCCATGCTGCTTGGAAAGATCAACGTTGCAGGTCTTGGGCCACCGACTGAGCTCGATGACAAGAGGTGTGGAAATTGGTCCACTGGCAGCTTCTCGCTTGGCTTGCTTCTTTGGGGCGAACCTGGCTTGTTGTTGCCTGAAGTTCCTGAAGGCACGTCTGATTGCGCGTCCAAGTCAGGAACTGATTGCTTACGCAATGACGTGATCCACGCGATGGCAACCGGAGCCCTTTTCTGCTTAGCGGCAGGTTGCACTTATGAAGGTTTTGGTTGAAGCGTGTCGCGTTGCCAGCCCTCGTGGATGGGACACCATCTTCCAGACCTGGATGCGTACGAACAGAAATTCCCCCCTATGATTTGCGTTTGCCTTGCCCTTTTTGCCGCTTGCCGTGCTTCGCGGGTGTTCTTGTCTGCGTTGGCCGGCTGTTGCTGTCTGGGCCCGGTGGCTCAGTAGCACGAACATCAAACAGACGTTCAACCAACTTCTAGACGTTCAACCAACTTCTTGTGCCCCAGACAGTCCAGGATGTTGGCCTTTCCTAAAGCCAGGCCTTGTCACATCAAGGCGAAGGCGCATGTCGCCTGTGACACTGGCCTCAATATGGCTGAGTCTCTTCTCTTCACACATGGAAACTGCAGCAACCACCAAACAATCGCTTGGCTCCATCTTACCTTTTTTTTGTTTCTCAGACCTGTCAGGCAAGACTTCTGCCTCATGACCAGTGGCTCGCCCTTTTGAGGGGAGCTTCACGTGTACTTTAGCAGTACAGGTTTGCTGACCACTATGCAACTGGCATCAGCATGAGAAATCTTCAGTGTCTGTTTTTGGCCCTTGCCGGAATGGATGAAAGTCAAGAAAAGCTGTTTTCGAAATTTTGGCTTGCCCTGACAGCTTGTGCGCAACACCGCTTGCGCCAGGAAGACCACGCAGAAAATTGCAAAACGCAGTTGCGACAACGCAGGGCCTCAAGAACGATGGGGACCAACATCTGTCATAAGACTGTAAACAGTGCTCTCAAGCAAGGGAAATCATCCCCGCACCAATGCACAAATCACAAGTTGGCCGTAATTGGCCCTGCACGGTTCCACAGTTGATCTCCGCGCAAAGACATGTTGCAAACCAGCGCAGAGTGAGTTTCCCAACGGGTCAAGCTTGTACGACTGACGTCCAAGCGCAAACGCAGTGACATGTACAGCGAAAATGGTCATCCACTTCCTAATGATAGCAGCCCTCTTTCTGCCACACTGTTCTTGCTGGCGGTGCGCTTGACATGGAACAACCTCAAATCAGATATAGAGGCTCTCTCGTCAGCTCCCTCTTCGAGCGCTGGCCTGTATGCCTGCAAGACCACGCGCTGTAGAAACTGAAGGCGCTTGCGCAACATACCCAGCAATCCGTGTCTGTTCCCAAATAGGTCGAAAGACACTACCCCAGGCCTTGCGCCTGCAAAGTCTCAAGTGCATCCATGCCCTCCAATGTGTCGAAAGCACTCAAGGCTTGTCAAGCCTAGGTAGCCAGATGAAATTCCGGGCTTGGTGTTGTGCAATGTGCAGTGCATCTTGATGCTTTGCATGGGGGTCTTCGTGACAAGGCCGCACACCCCTCTGTCCGAAGCCGAAAACCCGCGGTTGCAACGAGTTGTTGCAAGATGCCTTGCCGGCGCTAGAATGTCTTTGAGGGAAGAGAAGAGTCTCTGACAATGCGGAATAGGCAGCGCAGACGGTCAAGACAGCTCATCCCTGTTCCCTCCTCATCCACAACCTCCCATCTGGTTGCGCTGTCTTACGCTCAAAGGGAGTGTTCCCCAGGCGCCCCAAAAGGAGACTGACCCAGTTCTCAGACTGAAAATAGGGACGGCGGCGCAAAATGTTGCTGAAGCGCATAGGTGGAGCCCCCTTACAAGGGTGGGCGCGAAAAGGGTCATGGTGGTAGTCTGTCGCACGCCGACTTCGACTTTGTCAACATCAAACCGAAGGTTTGCGCGGCGTAGTGGGATAGGCATCAAAAAACTCATTCGGCGTCAAAAAACTTATTGGGCTTAAAAAAAAATTATGCTCATTCCGATGGGGGGAAGGAAGGAAGGAAGGAAGGAAGGAAGGAAAAAAGGAAGGAAGGAAGGAAGGAACGAAAAAAGGAAGGAAGGAAGGAAGGAAGGAAGGAAGGAAGGAAGGAAGGAAGGAAGGAAGGAACCCCCCCCAACCACCCCGCTGAGTTGTAGAAGGTTTACAGTGATTAACGCGCCCTTTGCTGAATCATCACTTCTTCGATCATCATCCCCAGGATGTTCGAAGAAGTGATGATTCAACAAGGGGTGTGTTAAGCTCTGTAAGCATTCCATTCTACAAATCAGCACGGGGGTTGGGGGGTGGGGGGGCGGCAGCCTCCCCTGTGCGGTAATTTCTGCAAACATTCTGAAAATCACGGGGGTTGGGGAGGCGGCAGCATTCTACAAATCAGCAGGGTTGGGGGAAAAATGTAGAAAAGGCAGATTTTGGGGGGTGGGGGGTAGATGGTTGCCTGTTCTGTTTTTTATTTCACAATTCAACACGTGTACCACCTTATTCGTTTTTTCAAGGCTGATTTTGGGGGCATGAAATAACGATATGGATGTGGTAACGAATTGATGAATTGGTCCCCTGTCTCGTTCCAGATTTCAACTTTTAGTTTTATTGATTGAAAGAGGATAGGACTTTCTGTGGATTCACGGGTTGGCTTTTGGGTGGGTCTTCTGTTTTCCTATTCTTTGTTTATGTCATATTCAAAATCTGATGAGGTTTCAATGTAATCTCTTATCTCTTCCTGTGTTGTTTGCTGTTTGTATTCTTTTGTTGTTTCTTCAGTCTTTGGTGGTTTTGGATTCTGAACATTGTTGATGTGTTTTTTGGTTCTTTCGTGTTTTGCTTTCTGACTAAGTGAGACCATACACCTACAGTATTGACATTCAATTGTTCGTAGGTTGTATTCTTTACTGTGTTCTTTCTGGTATTGCTGTTTGTTTTCTTTTTTGTTTTCATAATATTCCTTCGCTTTTTGGCTTAGTGTGTCTTTATGTTTTTCTCTGTATCTCTTTTTGCTTTCGAGACATAAATTACATTGTTTCCTTTCTTCTTTGAACATTTCTAGAGGTTGAAAGACTTTACATTTTGAACACTGCTTTTTGTCAGTCATATATCCTTAAATATTAAGGGGTCTAGTCTTTAAATTTATTCAGGGGTTTTTATAGATTAAAAGTTCACTATAATTATAACATATAAGAGTATAAATGATATAATTATGGTTTAGTTATGAATTACACAGGTTCATCAACAATTAGTTTAAACCTTATGTTTTGTACTCCTCCAA